GGCTATAGCAGATTCCAGGTAAAACATCAGAGGTCTCTGTCCAGAAGAGCGCAGTCCTAGGAACAGCTAAGATACTATATATATATATATATATATATATATATATATATATATATATATATATATATATATATATATATATATATATATATATATATATATATATATATATATATATATATATATATATATATATATATATATATATATATATATATATATATATATATATATATATATATATATATATATATATATATATATATATATATATATATATATGTATATCATATATAAGAATGTCATTGATGTTTGTTTCCTGACTGGACAAAAGGTGAACCGCACTGAATGGAACACCATCTCTGCATAATTGATGGTTGTCTCTGGATTGCAGCAACTTTAAATAAGCTGTTACTAAAAAAAAGCCATGTTCCCGTTCAGTTTTAATTTCATGGAAAAAAGCATCCAGTTTGTAATCAGACAACTGCACTGTATTCTCTGCAGTTTGTTGGAGATGTGGGGGCCGTGTTTGTGTTTATCAGGAAGGACAATTTGCATCACAGAAAATGTAACAGAGAAACTCTGAATCTCATTTTATGTTGAAAACACAGCACACAACAGTTGAAAAGCGCGTTCAGCGTTTATTTCTTCAAAGCAGGGATCAATGAAAAGCCATAACAATGTTTCTCTGCTTGTCCCTGAGACCAGGGTGGACGCCCCCAGCTGGACCCATTCTGAGGGCAGACCAGGTATTGTCACCTGGATCGCTCTGTGCAGCTTCATTTGTCATAATCATTCTTTCTTGTTTTGTCATCCCTGCAGCTGCTGATGAGATTTCCATAAAGAGAGGTGGCATGAATATGCATACTCATCCACAATGACACACCTGCTGCCTGTAGCTGAGATCATTACCAGTTTAACAACACATGGGGACCATTGCAAATACTTTAAACCTTTTGTGTTGGACCTGTCCATCAAGGACTTTGCCAACTTTAAAATACAGTACATACTATCATACTTTTATTTGATACAATCGTATCAAATCAGCATAAGATATACGTATATTCATTATTAGTCCTTGTGATGGACCGAGCAGTAAAGACAGTCGGGCACAGGTGTATTTAAAAAAAAACAGGGTTCTTTTATTTAACCCAAAAAAGATAAAATGTCAAAAGTACAAAATGGATCCAAAAATGAGGTCAAAGAAACAATAAAAACAACTCAAAATAACCAGTAACAGAACTAACTCAAACTAATTTTTTTTTTTTGTAGAGTCTGTAAGATGGGAAATGGAAATTATTTTTGAAGTAAAGTCAAATTAATGTGGTTATATTTAAATTAATTAACTGGTGTCAATATAAACATTAATTTATGTTAATTTAGTTAAAAATAAGTACATTAGGTAGGTTATATTTCAATATATTAGTTTGGCTCATCACCTGAAATGTTCAAAAAATCATTGGGAACCGGGCAAAGATTTTAAGTTGGGTCAAATGCAGTATTATTATTTACATCAACATAGAATAATCAGGTCATAACAAATGATTTAATTCAGATTCTGTGAAGTCCAAAATTTTAGATGTGATATCTGGACATTATTTCTTTTTATTTGAGCAAAGTTATACTTTTTTCCTGTGTGTTAATAAATACATTCCAAATAATGAAATGACTGTAAATAAAACCCTATATGAAAAAGAAACTAAATATAAAAGGATATTTGTTACCACATCTGTGTGGCTGTATATGCAGCTATCACAGTCCTAGAGTATTTGTTAGAAAAAAGTTCTTAGAATGTGAAACCTAAAGTATTGTGGTATTTTACAGTCCATATGCTTGCATCTTGATCATGAAAAACTATGACCAAGAAATATAGCCATGATAGAAATAGGAAATGGGAGAGAGGACCTGAAAAACAGCTCAGTGTTGATGATGCTAAAGGGGGTTTTTACAAGCTGCACGATGATTTGGAAAAACAGCTCCCCTCAGCCAGTTTAAATGATGTCCATATTTCAATTGCAGCGGTCTGTTTGTTGGAAAGATGAAAAATTAATACCCATTTGGAAGATTTAATGCAACTGAAAGAAAACAAAATAGTAATTTAATTAGAGCCACAGATCAAAGTGGTGTAGAAAGAAAGGTCCCAATGTTTGCTTCCTTGGATCATTTCTGCTTACTTTACAGCTTCCATTACACACTGTTCCAAAAACCCAGGAGGTTAAGATAGTATGGTGCCAGAACAGACGTTTAAAAAGACCCTTTTCAAGCCTTCAGGGGTGGTTCTAGGTGAAAATTTACTAAGGGGGCCGGGATAGGGACAATGTTTCTTTTTTATGGTGGTACTAAACAAACAAAAAAAACACAGTAAACATAAACAGGATAAAAGTGCATCATTTAGTATATTAAGTGAGCTCCAAAACCAAGGTTGCAGACTCCAGATCTGAAAAATTAAAACTGTGGTTGTATATTCATATGGCTGAAGATCAGAGGTGAATATAAAACTGCAAAAGTTGTTAATCTAACCAAATCTTACAATCATAAATGTAACCAAAAAAAATCTTTTTGATCTTGTTTTGAGAGTGATAAACAAAGCAAAAGCAGATTCTGTTAGATTATTAATCGTCCTTTAAGAAGATTCAACTAAAAATAAGTGCACTAATCTGCCAAAGCAGTAAGACAATGACACTTTGTTAGACTTCTTGACAACATGATAAATGTATTCTCAAAACCTAAAAAGAGGAATTACAGTGATACATTGTGATTCAAAACAATCCAATAAAGTTTTTGTTTTTTTTTTTTAATAAGTGTATTTGTCCTTAAACTGAGCAGGTAAAAATTGTATTTTTGTTGTTAAAATAAGATATTATCCACTTGAGTTAAAATAATGTAGGTGTACTCTCTAACTTTTTTTTTGTAATTAAAGTTTTTATTTTGTTTTATGAACATATAACAAAAACAACAAACAAAAAACAAAACCAGTCAGGTAAACATTGTTGATTGTAAGGCCGCGTTCACATCCATCACACGTTGTCCTGGTTTCCACCCAATTAAATACAGACTGGACACCTAATTAAGTCCCGTTTAGCTTGACCGATCCTGGTCTTGTCCAGGTTCAGATCAGAATTTGGTACTCCTTAATTTAATATGTTTATGTGTAAATGTGAATGCAACCTAAATGTTGTTCCAAGTTATCACTGTTGCAATGTAGTAGAAACATAGGCACTAAAACTGTCCCATTCTTCTGTTACAGCCTCAGAGTAGTTGTTCAGTCTTCCAAGCATTTTCTCACAGGCTGTATTTTCAGTCATTCTCTCTCTCTCCATGTTTTGAAAGCTGGAGTCTGTGGTATCCTCCATAGAGTCAAAATGAGACGGGCACAGGTAACAAATCCAGTGTTCAGTACTCTGAAAGCTGCTTTATGGACACCTGGGACCAAACCTCTGTCCCCCAACAGGCACAGTCTTGGTGAAATAGGCAGTTTACTCTTTATCCGTCCCTCCATGTATTTTATAACATTATTCCATATTGGAGAAATCAGCGGACATTCCCACAAAGTATGCAGCAATGTGCCTCTTGCTCTTTGGCATTTCCAGCATAAGTCATCTTTGCTAATACCCATGTTATGCAGTCTTACTGGTGTAAGATAATACCTGTTCAAAATTTTATATTGAATAAATTTCCCTTTGGCCTCTCTTATATAACACCCGCTTTCAGAAACAATAGAGTCCCACATTCCATCTTCAAAAGTGCAACCCAGATCTCTTTCCCATACTATTTTAAGACTTTTACTTGTATTGTTTTTAACCCATGGACATATGTTATACCATTTTGATGCTTTACTAAGTAAAGGTGGAAGTTGTAAAAAACTCTCTATCGAATTTTTCTCCAAGTGAAATTTTGTGTTGTCCTTCAAACAGTCTCTAATTTGTAAGTATTTCCAAAAGTTGCTTTGTCTCTCTAACTTAAACTTTTCTTTCAGATCATTATATGACATAAATGTGTCTTCCACAAATAAATCACCAATTATCCATACACCTTTCTTTAACCAATGTGACCAATAAATTGACTGTTTACCGATTTTGATCTTAGGATTATGCCACAGGGACGCATATCTTTGGGTATATGGAGAGAGCGCAAGTTTTTTGTGGACCAATTGCGACACCATTTTTGAGAATTTTAATATAGGTTTTTCTATTTTATTCTGTTTATTATCTATCTTTTGAGTCAATACCTCGATAGGGGTGAACAGAGAGGAAAATTCCCGCTCTATTGAAACCCAGTCTAAATCTGATTTAGTTTCTGGCCAATGTTTGCACATCTTGGACATTTCAAATGAAATGCTATAATGTTCTATGTTTACTTTCTAACTTTAAATATAAATTATCATATTCCATTGGTAATGTGTGCTACCTACTTAAATCAAAGGAAAATTTGCTTTTTAGAAAGTAAAAAAAAAGTGTTATATTCAATTTTTCGTAGTGTATGCTTTCAGCACAGGGACCATAGCAGGAACCAGGACCAGTTGTACGGGAGCACTGGCCCCTATTGGCCCATGCAAGCCCTGCAACAGAAACGCTCTGATCTTGAGAGTGGATTAAAAAAATTATTTAAATGAATCAATTAAAAAACAAAAGATTTCATTGGTAGCCTAATTATATAATCTCTAATAAGTAACCTGACATCTAAAAAAAAATATTTCACACAGTGTGCTTTTATTTTAGCCCATTGCTTAGTCTGGAAGTAAAGTCCGCACCTGTTGCTGCGCCCTTCACGTAAAATTCTAAGTTATTATTTTTTATCTTAAAAGTACTTTGTTGGAGGACAGCTTCTAAAATCTGTGAGAACTTATTTTTTTAGAAAAATGTTTTTGCTTTTTTTCCCCATAAGCTTCCTCTTCGACTGTGCATAAAATTAAAATCTAAGTAATCACCCAGAAATCGCAAGTTCATCATCTTTAATGGTTCGAGTGCGGGATTTCCAATTTCCGAGGGACGCTTGAACTCATCACAAACATCCAGCTGACATCAGCGGTGAACTTTTCCTCAGGAGTTTCTACTGGAGCGACGCTGGCCGTGGGATGCTTGGGGATAATTTAGGAAGATAAATATGTGAATGGAGCGGCAGCTGTGGCGGAGGAACATTCCCTTTTTACACAATAAATAAAAGAAATGGCGAATTCTAGTGCTTTTAATGAGAGCGCTCCTTTGATTTCCGCAGAAGCTTTCCGAGCGGAGATGATGGAGAATCCGCTCCAGGTGAGTTCAACTTTCAGCAAAGTTCCTGGAATAGACCTGAGATGGATGCAGAATGAATGCTGTGGCGTTATAACTGATCAGGAATGAATACATGCATCTTATTACTGTCCGTTTGCTTTAAGACAAACCCTAATGTTGACCTAAGGCACAGCTTATTTTCTGTTAGGGCCTGTTTGGAGATCAGTTAACACACAGGCACGCAGGTTTATTCAGATCAATTATAAATAGAATTTAAAACCTACACAGGCAAAATATATATCATATACACCTCTAAAAATACATCATTGGTTCCCTGTTCCTAATTATAGGAACAGACAAATTAATTATTGTATAAATAAGAGAAAAAAAAAATAATATATATATATATATATATATATATATATATATATAAAGATAGATAGATATATTTGCCTTTTTATACCAACCATTCAGCAAAACAACAACTTTGCTCAACTATATACATTTATTGTATATAGATAGATAGATAGATAGATAGATAGATAGATAGATAGATAGATAGATAGATAGATAGATAGATAGATAGATTTGCGTTTTTATACCAACCATTCAGCAAAACAACAACTTTGCTCAACTATAAAAATACATTCTAGGTGTTTTTATATGTTAGTTATTAGAACTCCTTAGATCTCAATCAAGCATTCTAGTTTTGTAAATATAATGTCCAATCTTTATCATTTTTTTTCAATACAATGAAATTCTTCTTTGGATATTCATCCCACCTGAAAACAAGAAGTACAATTTTAGTAAAGATGTTTATTCCATCAACTATTTTATACATAAAAACTAATATTTCCTCTTGGAAGTTAGATTTTCTGATCAAGCTCTCTACAATGTTCAAATTCTTTCAATGAGTTTACATTAAACTAAGTTAACCTTAGTTAAAAATAATAGTTGACTTATAACATGTAAATAAAAGTAATTCATAATTAATGGGTTTAAATACACATTTAACAGGTGTATTAGACCAAATATTTAACTATCATTGATTTATCTCAATAATTTTCTAAAGATTTCATTGAAACTATTCTTTCTAATCATTAATATTAGTTGAACTCTGCTGTACACTTACTGAAGAGAAAAAAAGAGATTAAGCTAATGCTTTTTTTTCTTTATCTAAAATACAATCTTTGCCTTAGAAGCTTTTTGTGTAATGAACCATGTGGTGGACCAGGAAGCTGACTGTTCACAGATCTACTGTTTTTGGCTGCTGTTTCACTGTGTTTTCTAAAGTGATTGTGACTAAATACTGCGCTGGAGGCCTTTCTTTTTCATTCTCGTCAAATGCGTCCAGTTGACTCTCTCAATTTGTCTTTTAAATCAAATTTGAGGAATATGCAGACTCCTCTGTCTGTGCGAGGTTGTGTGTGTGTTTGCTTTTCCCAGCCTTTTGCCCTCTCGCCGTTTTTCACTGAGGCACATTCTCTAGATGCTCATTTTCTCCTGCAAAGTGTTTCTTTCTTTTATTGGCATGTTTCCTCTGGGTGACATTACCAGCGGGGGCCAGGGAGAGAAAAAGAAAGAGTGGCAGAGTAGGAATGAGAGAGGCGTGAGTAATGAGTAATGGCTCTTTGGGTGGGATGTTAGAGAATAGATCTACTGTACTAAGTCCTGAACAGCTGCCTAATGGTCCCAGCTACCCACCATCCCAGAGAACATCCCCAACAACCAGGGGACAATATCTGTCTGTCTCACTTGGTTTCATAACTTTCGTCATGGTTGCATTAATACCAGCTTTGAAGTTATGTTCATCTTTCAAAGTTCAAAAAGTTCATAATGTATTTCTGCAGAGCATACCCCAATACAACGACATTAATTAAGCAACACCTTTCGATTTTGTAAAATATATTCAGACACTTTGGCAACCATTTGCACATTTTTACCCTAAAAGCACAGAATCCATTTTGATGATCTAATTGCCCTAAATGTTATGAGCTGTAATACATTGAAGTTTCTAAGAATAACCAATGTTGTTTATGCTTCAGGCTAATGTCTTTCCTAGTTATTAGTTCAGTGTCTTGATTTTGATCAAAAGCCTTGCTTAGTAAACACCAAGTTGGGACTTAAATCTTTTAAGTGGCTGAAGAAAAATGATATTTTCAGTTTGCATTGGTTCTGTAAGGGTTTTACCCTCCAAGAGAAAATGTTTGTGCATGAAGTATCATGATAAACTACACTAGTGATAATAGTACAAAGTTAGTACAACAATAATGTGTTCTAATATTTGACACTTTGTATTCTATGTGCTTCTTCATGTCTTCAGCTCTTAGCTGAAATGAAACAGATCAGCCCATCCCAGAGACTGACAGTTGCCTATTGTCATGGGAAACAAAGGACCATGCTGTCTCAATTCTTCATGTCTGTCCATCCTGCTGTTGGTCAGTGTCTTAGAATTGAAAAAAAACAAACAGGTGCAGATGGTAGGAGACTAAATTGGATTTTCTCTGATCACACATACAGGCTAGGTGAACTTACATCCCTGCTGATATTTGTTGAAATGTCCCATTACAAGTTACACATTGAAATCACTGTTTTTGTAGTTATCCACTAGCCTCTGGTATCATTTTGGCAGAATATGTGCGGCTCTTCTTGAAGTCGTAGGGAAAGGGCTGTTCCAACCGCTGCTTTTCTGAAGTCTCCCGAATGGTGCATGACTTTACAGGAGTGAATGAAGTGAAAGTGATTGGTCGTTTATCAAGGGGGCGGAATTGTTGTGATGGAAGGTTTGCATGCTAATTTGATTGTGGCCGGTCTGTCGGAAGCATCTTGCTAACCAGTGCTAGTAGGTTCCCAATGGGAAATTCCATTAGGACCAAGTAGCACTAAATTGGTGACTTAGAAACGACACTGTCAAGGAACGCTACGGACAGAGGAAACATGCAAGAAGAGGAGAGTTTTGTGTCGGAGGTCGTTGATGAGTCTCCTCAGTCATATTTTTCTTGTTTAGAGGACCAAAGTGGGGACAAAGATGTTGTGGAAGAGGACGCCAGGGCGGCAGAAGCTTGGTTTGGTGTAGAAGGCTTCCAGCCGTACATGTTTGAGCCCTTGCCTCGCAACGCTGCCAGTTCTGTTAGCTCTACGCCTGCTGAAGACACAGACGTCCATCCCCGTGAACACTGGGACGGAACTCAATGGAAAAGGAAATTTCCCAAAACTGCAACATATGAATCAAGATGCTATGCAGGGGCGGATCTAGAAAAATATTTATGGGGTGGCGAGAGGGGGGCAGGAATTTTTGAGGGGTGGCAACATATGGCATTTGTTTACACTGAATTTAATCCCAGTTATCACAGTTTGGTGAGAATAGTATGTACAGTGTTTCATGTGAAACATTTCATATTAGAAATACATCGTACAATGAGATCTCACTTAATAGGAGATAGAAGAATGATAACACTACTTCTAGAGGGGCCTTATGACAGGAAAGGTATTAAGGTGAGACACAGGTGCTGAGTCGCAGATGTGTGAGACTGACTGTCAGAGGCAGCTTTGCAGCATTTGCACAAGAAGAAACTATAGAAAGAAAAAGTTCCCCATCAGAGATCTATGGACTGAGCTGTACTAAAGTGAGCATAACTACACAGTAGAAATAAATGGGTCAAGGCACCCGAACAAGGTACTGGACATCTATGTAATGTTTACTCTGAACACACATTTACCCCATTTGTTCCTCAGTAACTTCACAGACAGCAGTTAAGGCAACATGAAAGGGACATTTCATGCATGTAAATATGCTGTAGATAGAGCTGCATATGTAGGACCAACTCTGCCGTATTTAAAAATAAATACAGAAATAAATAAATAAATGCTCAATAAATGAATAAGCATACAATTAATTGCCACCAAAAATGCAATCAACAAATAAATGTAAGTAGAAATTATATTATAAGGGCAGGCAGAAATGTTAAAAGGGCAGGCAGAAAGAAATAGCGGCGAAGAAATAACTAGGGTAAAAAAATACAAAGGAAGAATAAAACAGACAAAAATATTATAACATGCACATATATAAATACTTAAAAATATAAGTAATTAAAAAATAAAGTTGAAGATAATAAATGACAAAAAATAAATAAGGTAAATGTTACAAAGGCAAATAAATAAAGAAGCTAATTAAAAGAGTTATATACATTTATGACTAGCTGTATAATTAAATTTCTACTTACATTTATTTGTTGTTTGCATTTTTGGGGGCAATTAATTGTATGCTTATTTATTTATTGAGCATTTATTTATTTCTGTATTTATTTTTAAATATGGCAGAGTTGGTCCTCCATACTGCTGTATCAACAAATCAACAAAAAGGCAGGTACTGTATGTTACATCAAAATCTCCACAAATCTGAAAAGAAGCAACATAAAAATACATTTTGCTTCCAGTCTGAAAAAGTACAAAAAATGTTGTGAGTAGATTCATACAGGTCACTTCTGGATGATTTCATACTAAATATACAAAAAAGAAACAACAACACTGCTTCATATTAAGCAGGATTTACACCAGTATCACATTTTAACTCTACTTTTAACACTTTTGATTTTATTAAAGGAAATATAACATTTTCTCAGGTGCCAAAACAAAATGTAACAGCTCTGTAAAGGCTCACCAGAGAGCATAGCATAAAGTTACCTTGACTATAACAGCTGAATGCAGTGATTTCCATGTTGCTCAGCAAAACGCTTCACAAATATATTTAGATCCAAGCCTTTGTGCTTTTTGATTTGAGTTCAACCAAACTTGATCGTCTCTTTTCTGTCATAGTTGACCGCAAATATGTCTTTATGAGCCTGAGTCGTCAGGCCTAACTAACATCATAGTTAGAGAAATAACGTTCTGCAACCTGATTTTTATCATCTGTAAATCAGCATTGCAGCTATGCTAGTAACAATGTGCTTTCATTATGATTTAATTTCTCAATAGATAGTTAATCAGTGTTTACCTGTTTCTTCCCGTGTCTCCTCTACCCATGACCCCTGGCTCCCTCGCTT